AGAGGAGTTAGACTTGGAGGCATCTGTAAAGAACTCGGGACGTGTGTATTTGTGTTGAAGATCCAGGAAGTATGTTCGGATATGGGCTATAGGTGCATGTTTTGTTACTTCTAGGAAAGACACATCGCAGTCTATAGTCTGCCATTGCCACGGTGGCGGGTATGCTACAGGAGCCATTAAACTGTGTTCAAGTGACACTCCAGTTTCTTCAGCTAGACCCTTCAGGCGAACTGAGAGGGGCTGCCTCATCGAAGGCCTGTTTTGAAACCGAATGTAGCTCGACAGATCATTAATAGTAGAGTATGAGGGGTGCTTCTTGTCTGCTTTCACCTTAACAAAATGTACAAAGGACATGTAAGTTGATCGATTTGTGTGGTTTAACGTCCCAAAACCACCATTTGATTATGAGAGACGCCGTAGTGGAGGGCTCCAGAAATTTTGACCACCTGGGGTTCTTTAACGTGCACCCAAATCTGAGTACACGGGCCTACAACATTTCCGCCTCCATCGGAGGGGACATGTAAGTTCCCTGTAGATGAAGCGACCATTCATTTGACTCAACGTAAAGGCTTTCTACAGGGCTGGTGCGAAAAGCACCCGTAGAAAGGCGGATGCCCAAATGGTGCACGAGATCCAGCATCTTCAAAGCACTTTGAGTTGCAGACTGATAAACAACAGCCCCATAATCTAAGCGGGTGCGAATGAGGCTTCGATACAGATTCATGAGGCATTGCCTATCACTACCCCAAGTAGTACGTGACAACACTTTTGTAACATTCATGGCTTTTAAACATTTTGTTTTCAAATACTTCATGTGCGGTACGAAGTTCATCTTGTTGTCCAAGATTAAGCCTAAGAATTTATGCTCCGCTTTGACAGAAAGACGTTGCCCATTCAGTCGAATGTCAGGTTCCGAGTGCATGCCTCTCTTTCGAGAGAACAAGACACACGTGCTTTTTTGTGGGTTAAGTCGAATCCGTTTTTATCTGCCCATTTAGAGACCTTGTTTAAACCCAACTGAACCTGCCGCTCACACATTGCCAAGTTGCATGACTTGAAGCCAAGCCGGACGTCGTCGACATATGTACAATAGAACATATTGCGGGGGATGGACAAGTGCAAGGAATTCATTTTGATGAGAAAAAGTGTGCAACTAAGCACGCCACCTTGTGGCACGCCTGTTTCCTGGACAAATGTTTGAGAGAGCACACTGCCCAGACGGACACGGAATTTCCGGTTTGACAGGCAACTTTCGATTATATGAAACATTCTTCCGCGCACACCAAGGTGGGACAGGTCTCTTAGAATTCCAAAACGCCATGTTGCATCATAAGCTTTTTCGATATCGAGGAACACAGAGAAAATATTGTTTATGGACGAAGGAGTCTCTGATCTGTGCCTCGATACGAACAAGGTGGTCTGTGGTGGATCTACTTTCTCGAAACCCGCACTGAAATGGGTCGAGCAAATTGTTTGTTTCAAGGATATGTACAAGTCGGCAGTTTATCATTTTTTCGAAGACTTTGTAAAGCAGCTTGTAAGTGCAATAGGTCTATAGCTTCAAAGCTAAAGAAGGGTCCTTGCCCTCTTTCAAAATGGGAATAATAGCCTCTTTCCAGGAGGTAGGGATAGTGCCAGAAAACCAGATAGCATTGTATAAACAAAGTAAAGTTTTTCGTGTTTCGGCTGGTAGGTTTTTTAACATTTCATACACCACACGGTCAGAACCTGGGGCAGAAGTACTGCAGGAGTTTAGAGATGTTCGAAGCTCAGCTAGACTGAAAGCTTGGTTATACGCCTCGTATCTAGTGGATTTGTGTTCTAGTTTCTGCTTTTCTATTCTTGTTCTGTATTTTTGGAAAGTGTCGGTGTAGTGGGACGAGCTGGATATCCGTTCAAAGTGTGCACCGAGGAAGTTTGCCTGATCTTCCAAGGTATCACTCTGAGTGTTTACGAGTGGAAGTGTGTGTACTTGTTTTCCTGCTATCCTACCGACCATGTTCCAGACTTAAGCCTCCTGTGTGTATGAATTGATCCCTGACAAAAACTTCTGCCAGCTTTCTCTGCTGGCCTGCCGACGCATTCTCCTGCCTTGAGACTTTATTTTCTTGAAGGTGTCAAGATTTTCGGCTGTCGGCGAGTTTCGAAGCAACCTCCATGCCTTATTCTGCTCCTTTCACGCATTACGACACTCTGTGTTCCACCATGGGACGTGTCGCTTGCCAGGCTGTCCAGATGTTTGTGGGATGCATTTGGCTGCTGCGTTAATAAGGAGAGCTGTAAAGTACTGCACAGCTTCATCTATGCTTAGCCCACATATGTCAGTCCAACATAACTGAGCATTGTTATGAAACTGTTCCCAGTCGGCTTTGTGTATAAGCCATTTGGGAACTCGTGGAGGACATTCGTATGATGTTTGTGTACTCAAAACAACAGGAAAATGGTCACTTCCGTAGGGATTATTTAGAACTTTCCATTGGAGTAATGGTACAAGTGAAGGAGATGCGATGCTGAGATCTATGGAAGAGTAGGTTTTGTTGGCAAGGTTATAATATGTTGCCTCTTTCCTAAACAACAGACAGGCACCGGAGGAAAAAAGGAACTGTTCAATGAGACGACCTCGTGCATCACAGCGAGAATCGCCCTATACACTGCTATGAGCATTCAGGTCACCAAGGACCAGATAAGGTTCGGGTAGTTAATCTATTAAAGACTCGAATTCTAGTTTTCCAAGATGGTGGTGTGGGGGTATGTACAGAGAGCAGATGGTGACGAGCTTGTTGAAAAGAACTGCTCGAACAGCCACTGCCTCTAGTGTTGTTTGCAGTGGTAAATGTGTGCATGCTACTTTTTAATTAACAATAATGGCTACACCGCCGGATGATGCCGCAGCATCATCTCTGTCCTTTCGGAAGAAAACATACCAACGCAAAAAATTCGTGTTTTTAGATTTTAAATGAGTTTCCTGTACACACAGCACTTTCGGCAAATGTTTGCAAAAGAGCTCTTGAACATCATAGAGGTTTCTAAGGAGTCCTCTGATGTGCCAATGTATTATTTGTGTTGCCATATTGGAGGTAACGTAGTGCTGTGTGCAAGGAAAAATGGGTGTGTCTGCTTCTTAAGCTAAGCGTTAAGACTCGAAGAACAGGGCCGTCGCTGGGCCCCGTTATTGGCTTTTTATTTCTTTTGGCGCGCTCCAGGGAGCTACGCCGATCTTTCGGCACCAGGGGTACCATGGTGTCCATTGCCTCCTCAGAGGCACTGCATGCCCGCATTTGCGAGCTGATGTTTTGGGCTTGGGACCTCGCCGGGTGAGACCAGGCCTTCATATCGGCCGACCCTGGTGTCTCCTTCACCTCGGGGCGCGAAACCTTCGGTCCTCTTGGGCTAGAGGTCGAAGAAACCTCCTTTGGTGCTGGGATACCCTGGCCGCTGCAAGAGCTTGCAGCAGCCGTGGTTGTCGCCGTGGGGACAAGTGGCAGGGCAGCCTTGGCTGTTCCCGCCGTGGGTGGGGGCATTGGCGACCGCCTGGGCACACTGTGCCTGGCATGGGCAATTGCCGCAGGCCGTTTTAGTGCTGCCCCCTGTTGCACTACATCGGCGAACGATGGTTTGTGAAAAGACCAGATACTTGTTGACAGGCTTCTCGGAAAGTAATGTTTTGTGTGATTTTGATTGTAACAATTTCTTTTTCCTTTTTCCATGTTGGACAGGTTCGGGAGTATGCGGGATGGGCACCATCCCAGTTTGCGCAGTGGGCCCCATCCTCCACCTTACACTCGTCCGTAGCGTGTCCTGTGGTGGCACACTTTTCGCAGGTGAGTTGGCCGCGGCAACTATGAGAGCCGTGACCAAAACGCTGGCATTTGAAGCAACGTCCTGGGTTGGGGATGTAGGGTCTCACATTCAACTTCAAGTATCTTGTTTCGAGTTGTTCAGGCAGGGTACTGGTGCAAAATGTCACAATTATGTGTTTTGTTGGGATTTCCTTATCACGCCTAATTTTGATTCTTTGTACTTGTGTCACCTGCTGGTCCTTCCAGCCCTCGAGGAGCTCTCCTTCAGTCAGGTCAAGGAAGTCTTGATCAGATACAACGCCTCGGGAAGTGTTGAGTGAGCGGTGTGGTGTAATTGAGATAGGTATGTTTCCAAACGATTCTAGTTTTGAGAGGTTTTCATACTGGCTCAGACTTTTTACCTCGAGGAGTAGATCCCCACTGGCCATTCTTGTAGCCTGGTAACCTGGTCCAAGTGTAGTGGTGAGGCATTTGGAAACAACGAAAGGCAAAATAGTACTGGCGTTCTTTTCAGTGGTTTCACAATGGATTACATGGTAGCAGGGAAAGGTTTCTTTCGGTTTGCTGAAATAATTGCAAAAGTTTTCGGTGCGCCCTCTCTTCGAGAGAGGACGATCGTGCAATGAAGGGAGAGAAGAAAAAGCCATAAACTAAATACGAGTTCGACAACCATGCCAGCCGCCCACCATGGAGCCCAACACGGGGACGTGACAAGTCCTAAATTTATATGAGGCATGTCAACGTCAGCTGTACACAGCCGCTATAACCAAATATATTGTGCCCAAGACAGAGCACATACACAAGGTTAACCCTTGCCGCCAGGAAAAATCGGAAGTAAATGGAAGAGAGAAGAAGACAGGATAGATTTAAAGACGAGAAAAGACTAAGATGTAGAGAGAGAGAGAGAGAAATAGGAAAAGGCGACTACCGATTTTCCCTGGGTGGGTCAGCCCAGGGGTGCCATCTACGTGAAGCCGGGCCAAAGGGGTGTGTTGCCTCTGCCGGGGGGCCTTAAAGGTCCAATCACCCAGCATTGCCTCAACCCCCAGGATCCCCTTTTCCCCAGACACGGCAAAGCCATGCACGGCTAGGCGTGGGAGGGAGCCGAAACTCCCACGTTAGCTCGGGACCGTGGTGTCGCTACACACCAAACGCCTACTTGCGCAGGCGCCCCTGCAGGGAAACATTTTCATCAAAGTGAGGCTGTTTCAACGCTCGAACATATGATTTATACAATTATGAACATATTGGTAAATAACGAATTCACATATCAGTATGGATTAACTTACAAAAAGTTTCTAAGGTACCAAGGCTCATTCACACATCGAATTCGTAAAGATAAACTTGTAAACAGGAGCACCCGAATTCGAATGAAAGAATTAATACGTAACCATACGAATCAAACAAATATCACAACTAATATGCAACTGAATATTACGCAATAAAACATAAACGTCCTGGCCAAACAGGTGCCACTCGGTGTCACTACCACCGTTCACGTCGCAGGCCGGGAACACCGAAGATAGCAGGCGGGCCTTTTCGACTATTCTTCTGTCAAGAAACACGGCGTGACTTTTTTAAGACACAGCCAGTCCAACGACGCACAGACCATCTCGAACATCGGTCACTTGGTGCTGGCATCCACTAGTTGCCGCTGGGAGCTGCCCGCGAAACGCCAACTGCGTTTTCGTCAGCGTCAGCACAGCCACCGTGTCCGTGGTTCGGTTCGCGATGTTGATCTCGATCTCCATAGAGACCATGGCACCACTGGCTGAAGCCCCACCTCGTGAAAACGCAGCGTGCTCTGCGAGAGTTAAAAGAACAAGAATGGAGCAAGGAAATGACAACAGCTTTTGCGCGTCGTCAAATGTGAAGATGATGCCCGACAGAACACATGCACAGGGCGATGGATTGACCGCAGAAAAAAATGGTGAAATATTAGAAAAGCAGCTGCTGCTAAGAGCACAATTCCCACTAAATGAAGCAAATAGATTTTTTTCTTTTTATCACACATTTGTTTTGGGTACGACTTACCAGGTCTTAATTTTTTAAAACAAAAGCCGTCTGCGTGCCAATTACTATTATTGATGATAATATTTGTTCGCCTGTTACGTCACAAAAGCATAATTTCTAGTCAGTATTACCTATGGAGACCCTGTTAAGTGAAAAATATCCTAGACACTTCGTACTCAATACCTTACAGCTCTATCTTATTTTGGTACTGTGCAAACCTATCCTCCAATGAGCGAGTTCATTATACCACTCACTAAGTGTAAGTAAACTATCGTTATAAATACATACATACTAACTGTACTTTCCTGCGACTCACTTTTCCTATGAAAACTATGGCTACTTATACTTATATGCTATGGTAATTTATCATGATAAGTGAACTTAGTGCTAAACTTACTGGACATTTGTACTCTCTCTGGTTCTAAAGGTGGATAACACAAGTTGGGGAATACCAACTTGACGATACCCCCTCTGTCTCTGCACTCCGTCATTCCATCACACTGAAGCAAAAGGGAAAATTCAAAGACTCTGCACCACACACCGAAAACAAGTGTTCAGGATCCAAGCCATGTAATATAAAACATGGATACTAGAACAAGAACACTGCATGGGAAAGCTTACTCCTTCCTCTCACCTGCTCCCCCTTCCCTTAAATATACTGAATTACTAAAGATACGTGGGCCGCTTTTTTTTTTATAGCGCTCCTTTCCTATTTACATCACACCAACTAGATAGCATGTCCGCTTTTAAGCACTTCGAAAGATATAACTCGGAACCTAAATATTTCCAGATGACTCGGCCTTTTCCAAATGTTCGGCAGAGATCAGGGTAGGATAATCCCTGTAATTGAAAATGCAAGAGAGGATTTCACACAACATTAAATCACATTGATAAAGACAGCCGCAAATAGTGGCTAGAAATATGGGGGCAGATTCGGTGTGCACAACCTGTACAGTATAACCAGGGCTAATTGTTTTGTTTAAGTAAAAAAGACCTTAATATCTTTAAAGTACCTTGCTGCAAGAGCATATTTCAATTGATTGAGTTTTTTGTTCTTTTTCTTTTTTTTTTTCAATGGTAGCAGCGAGGTTTGTCGTTCCCCGTGTTTGCGGCGAAATGAGGACGAGGTATGGCAAGAAAACATACCCTTGGAGTTGCAAACTAGCCGGCAGATGAAACTACCAGCTCTGATTACTTCAAATTATTCTAAGTTCCTAGCATACCACTTTTTTGTATTTTGTATGTTCCGTTAATTCCAAAACCTGCTTAATTGAAAGATTTCTCACGACCCCAGTGACCTCGAATTGATGAAGTTTTACTATAATGACATAAAACTTGTACGGACTGCGTGGCAGAGAAAGATGGCAACAGCAAGGCTGAGACATTGCACCAGGAGCAGGGTAACCGAGTGCGTGTTCATGGAGACGTGTTGTGCGCACTGCCTCCCTGGATAATTTAAGGATAGAATTCGAAAAAAAAAAGTTCAATATGTAGCTTAGGGCAATGAAATATTCAGCTGTAAACAAGGTTTATTGTAATTTCAAAATAAGTAATTTTATAATGAATTGCAGATTTTATTTGTGCCATGACAATGTGTAAAGCATAGTTCGTTTAGGACAAACTTTTTGTGCCACCAAACTTTTAGGGTTCTGCACCATTAATGGCTCATATTGATCTACATTAATGGTAGAATGAAAATAAGTACCAAGAGAGTGAGTATAAGACAGTTTAGTGGAGTAGAAAAAGTCACAGCTTTGCCACAAAGGCGAAGCAATGAACGCGATAGCAACAAATTGGAAGGTCACGCGCAGAATGGCAAGCAAATCGAAACGTTCCCCGTGTTTCTCATGCACAAATCATGCACAAAACGTACTCACAGGTACAGATGAACGCAAATAAGTGCCTCTGTTGTTACTTTGCTGTGTCTGAAAAGTCCGCCCTTTCCGCAAGCGGAGGCTGTGCAAAGATTGCAGTAACTTTTGTGCGCCCCGTAACTCCAACAATCGTTCCATGCATGCCACACGTAGGCCATGATCCTCCGCATCAGGAGATAAGGGTACACAAGACATCTACTCCCCTCATCTCCACGAGCCAATGTACGCGCTCATTGCACCATCTTGCTGATAATGCTGAAAAACACAATAGTCCCCCCCCCCCCCCCCCCCCAAGATGCCAGCCAACGGCTGGTAAATGATAGATACAAATAGCTTGCCACTCAAACATTGAAGGAAGTACCCCTCAGTGGCTTAGTGGTTAACGCCTCGCATTCATGACGTGGAGGTCCCACATTCGATTTCGCACGCCAGAGTATTTTTGCTGGATTCTTATTTTTTGCATTTTCATTTATTAGATACAAATACATATACGGTACATGACATCGACACCGGAGGCGAAATCAAGCGGAGAGTGTCCACATGAATTCTATCGCAATAAAATTGTAATGTGAGAGTTCTTGGAATCCTCAGAACGTACCAATCGCTTGCTTTAGGTTTGTAATAATTATACAGATGATATCAAGTGTTAAATGAGATACTTGCACACTTCACATGTTAAGGAATATGTGGACTATAACTCATCATCATTTGACTATTAGAAGTACCAAAAACATGTCTAAACTCAGGAGTCTAAACTCAGGAAGTTTCCCAAATGTGGATCCAGAGAAAAACTAATTTTCAAGGTATAAGTCAAAGCTCATCAATGCGACAAGAATATGTATTTTAGAATCATTTCTTCCATCGGGAGAGCTTGAAAATCAATTATTTCGAGCATGTGGCCTCAGTGAACTGCTCATGCAAATTGCAATGGCAAGCAACCAGGTGACAATTTTTAGGAGACTAGACAGTGAGCTATTTATAGTTTTTAGTAGCCACCTTACACTCTTAAAAAAAAGTGATTTTAACCCTGTGCAGTCCTCTCAGAGCACGACAACGCAACACGGCTGCAGTCGTGTGCTGTCTGGCACCGCCTGACAAATGTGTTCGTGGTTTATATTTCGTTTTTTTTTTTTTGTTCACTGAAAGTCGCACGTATCTTTATAATACATGAAGATCCTTCTCTTGAAGAATGAGGCAGCTTACTTTGTTGAGGTTTACTTGTCTTTACACTAGGGTGCAGCACAATGTTCAGCACGCAGCCTAGAGCGTACCCACTCAAGCGTGGTTCACCCAGAAGCATGGTCACGCTTTTACTGCGTGCAATTTACGGTGGTGCTTTTTGCGAAAGCGAGGACGATGTATTGAGGGAAAGAATTACGTGCCTCTAACAGACAGTGATGACAGTGATTCGACAGAAATGAGTGACGGAGACGACGACGACGGCAGTAGGAAAACATTCTCGTTCTGCAAAACCTGAAGTAATAACCCAGCCAGTAACCAGAGAATGCTGTGAGTGGTATCATAACCAGCCCAAATATCGCCAAAAGAGTTGCCACCTGAATGCAGGAGCGAAAAATATCGGGTCAGTTTTCCTTCCACAGTTCATGTTCCTTTTTTCGATGCCAGAAACTGGCGAAATAGTTTTGGACCGGTAGAGGCGGAAAGTGGGTAAGAGTTTTGGACCGCAAAGGGTTAAACTACTTTCTGTTTCATTACAATTTTCAGTTTTTTTGTTGTGAAACAAGAGAAACCAAACCTACAAAAGCAAATAAAAATGTAAAATATGTAATTTTAAAAAAAAAATTGCGTTAAGACTCGCATCTCCCTTTATCAAGAGATGTGCCACACTTGCATCTTTTTAACATCAGGATAACTCAAACAAAGTAAGTGAAGAATGGCTCTGTCATTGATACAGTGCCACAAATTTAATTTTTTAATGAATTTTCAAATATAATGAAGTATTTTCATGACTGGTGCAATTGTAATACTGAGATTTGAGTGTATTTACGAAAGCAGGTTCTGAGAGCCTATTAAGCCATGCCGAACACAATCATAACTCTTCTTTTCCTTTTCCGGTCACTTTTACTGTATGTATGTATGTATGCCTAACAACAACGAGAACTGCCACGACAACCATCCTAATAATAAATGCAATATTATTCCATTAAAGGGCTATTAAAGAAGCTTTTGTAGGGACATCCAAATGAACTATACTTTGTAAAATTCCCATCTGAAATTAGCCACAGTTAAGCATATCCATTACGCTTGTCTATGTAACAAGCACCAGACCACGCAATGAGAAAAGTATTCAGCAATTCCAAGGCAATAGTCTGGAGATTACAATGTCTTCACAAGGCATTGTTAAATATACTTGCAATTGGGCCTCTTAAACAATGAACATGCTGCTTTGTGTTTTAGAGAAATGAACTTGTAAGTGGAAATCTGAATTCTTGGTACCAATTTTACTGCATCATTGCGTAGTCTATTAATGTAGCTCGTTCCCAGAACTTGTGGCCAGCAGATATTCAAGGCAGTCAAGTGATGGCTTGTCAAGTATGGTAGACATGAAACTTTTCGTTTTTATATTTCTGCAGATATCTTTGATGAGTTAAGTGCACAAGACCAGTGGATCGACTCCTTTAGAGGCCTCCGACTCCGTCACTGAAAGAATTTCCAGAGCACCCATTGTGGTTCACACCTCAATGCCAAGGTGCGTTGAGTGGAACCCTGTGCCACACTCACAGCTGCCGTGCCTCAAGGTAATGGGGCTTGCCGAGTGCAACGACCTGCCTCGACAGCAGCTTGCTTTTTATGCTGGTAGCGTGCTCGCTCATTTGTTGTACACTTGGCAGATTTGGTAGGCTTTTGCGATGCACTTACGGTGCGCACTTGAAATGCTTTTATGGTAGCACATCGCAAAAGCCAACACGAACCAAGTAGTACCTTTCATTTGGTAATTGGTCGTAAATTCGAATTCAGTTATTTCAAAATACCATTTATTTCAAAGTATTTTGGCGGTCTCATATTTTGAAATGCAAGTTTGAGCAGATAATTTGAAGCGGTGGTCAGAACAAGTACGGTCAATTCGAAAAATTCTGGTGAAGTGTGCTGATTCCCGATCCCGATTTCGCCACGAATTCGCGAAAACAGCGACCTTATAGAGCCACCAGGCAATGTACTTAAGCATTGCTAATGGGTGGTAGCTGAAGCACCCCTGCCTCGCTACTTCCAGCACAAAAAATAAAATTACTGTCTAGTGATCTTTCTACTGTGACACAATTGGCTGAAACGCTCCATGATTTCAATAAAAACAGCGATGTCCTTCTGCAGACTGATGTAATTTGTGTCGATTTTAGGAAAGCTTTTGATAAAGTCTCTCATCCTAAATTACTTTTCAAGCTTGAAAGATTAGGAATAAGCTAAGAAGTATTAAAATGAATAGAGGCCTATTTATCCGCACGTCAACAGGCTGTAAAAATTGAAAATTACACTTCAAGACCACTGGCCGTGTACTCGGGCATTCCCCAGAGATCTATCTGCTTTAGAACCAATTCTGACCAATTCTTTTTCTGATATTTGTGAATGATCTATGTTCAATAGTTGATGCTCCTATTAAAACGAAACTTTTTGCAGATGAATGCTTGATTTATTCCCCAGTTACTTGCGAAGGCAACCAAATTATTCTGAACAGGCACTTACATGCATTAGATCAGTGGTGTATAATATGGGACATGGAAATAACCTATAGCAAGATGACATTTACGCATATTCACTCTAGTGGGCGGGAATTGTCATTCATGTATCACATCGGAAGTCGCCCTTTAAACAATGCTACTTGTTTCAAATACCTAGGAGTTAGTATAATGCACGTATTGAAATGGCACTCACATATCAATAACATCTGTTCTAAGGCAAACAAAAAACTGTATTTCCTAAAGAAAAAACTGGAACATGCCACACCGGATGTAAAACTAGCTCCTCACAAATCATTCATACGTCCTGTCTTAGAGTGCGCTAGTATTGTGTGGTCGCCTCACCAGAAGGTGTTATGGACAAAAATTGAAAGAATACAAAAATTAGCAGTCCGTTTCATATGCGGTAGATACCGACGCACACACTCAGTCATAGCTTTGTTAAAGTCCTGTGAGCTTGAGTCTTTGGAATATCACAGGCGCAAACATCCCATGTGGAATAGTTTACCCAATGCGGTTGTGCAACAAACAACATCAGTGAATTCGGAAAATGCATTAGACAGTTTTCTTTGTAGTGATGTGTGCTGAATTCTGTTGTGAGCATTTATTCGTTGATTTTTATGTTTATAGTCACTGTTGTTTGTTTCTTATTTTTCTGTAAGTTATTCATCTCGTATTTCTATGTGCTTTTGAATTTTTTTTTTATGCGAACGTTATGTACTTTGTGACACCCTCCCTGTAATGACCCCAAGCACGGGATCGACAGTATCAAATAAACAAAAAAATAAAATAATAATTGTTGGTTTTTATGCCCCAAAACCAACACGATAATGAAAGATGCCATAACGGAGGGTCCCAGAAATTTTCATCATCTCTTGTTCCTTAAAGGGCCCCTGCCACCAAAAATTGAAACCTCAAGACATTTTGTGTTGCAAGATTCACCAGTATACGTGAGCAGAATCTTCTGGCCATTTGTTAGTGGTGAACAATGGCACTTTAATTTGGCTTTAAAGCGAGCGTGAGTGCTCATATGAATTGACAGCACCTCGTGACATCACCGCGTATATGAAGAAGACAAAGGCACAGTGATTGTTTACAAGAAAAAAGTATTGTCAATGTTGCACATGATTCAAGAGGTGCACACAATGATTTGTCGACTGGAACACCCTCAACTTCTGTTGTCGTACTGCTCTCAAGGTAGCTTCCACCGCTTACAGAGAATCGCTGTTCTTTTTCCATAGGGGACATGCCCTTAACAGCTTAACTCGTATCAAAGACCCGCCAACATTTCATTCTTTACTGCGTGCAGGGCCGCCCTTATTTGAGAAGTGCGCTGTCAATGTCATCAGAGCATGAGCACATGTGCTCTTGGGCACTAATGCTTGAGGAAGCAGTAGTTTCTTACACTAGTTCAGCAAGCATTTCAAAGTGATGCTAAGACTGGTCACAATTAACAATCTAGCACTAATGAGTTAGATCGTTTATGATACATTGAAGTATTTACAATTAGATTTGGCATTACTTGACCCGAGGCTATATGTAAATTACAGTAACGAATTTGCAAATAAAACTCGCTGTCAGGGCTCCTTCATGACATGTTTGCATCCGAGTGAATGGGCCACTAGCATTTTGCTTTCATGGAAATGTGGCCATTACAAACGGGATTTGAACCAACAGCCTTCGGGCCAGCAGTTAAACAAAACAACCACCAAACTACTATGGCGTGTTGTCTTTTAGCAGCAAAGCTGTTTAAGCAGGATGTAGCAACTTCGGTGTGCGCAGAAAATCACAAGTGGGTATTTACCACAGGTATTGCACAAGCCCTGCTATTGAGCACTGCAGGTAAAAGCATTAAACAAAAACTTTTGATCAGCAAAGTGGTACACATAAAACACATGAAAGAGGGAGGGAAAAAGAGGGAGAAGGAAAGAGAAATTGAGAGAGAGGAAGGGATAGAAAAAAACGGTGAGAAACAGAATAAAGACAAAAATATTGCAAGAAAGAAATACACAGAAAAAGAGAAAGAAACAGACACAAAAAAGAATAAAAAGCATACAAAAAAATAAAAAAGTAAAGAGGAAAATGAGAAACAAACAAATCGAAAGAAGCGAATAGAGAAAGCAAGGAAAGAGAGAGCAAGAAAAATAGATGGGAAAGAAATCTAAAGCAACGGGTAAAAAATCATATACAAGAAAGAGCAAAAATAGAACAGATACAAGAAACGATGTGAAGCGAAAAGAAAGAGAACGAACAGGAAAGTCAAGAGAAAGAAAGAAACTCAGCGCAACTTTTTTTCCGAGGCTTGGCACCACTCATGTGAACCTGGCATAAGTTTCTTCTACCAATTACTACTATTTCTCGAGAGACACTGTTTTCCATTACTTCTTTCTTTTTTTCCCATTCCGCACACTAGGAGCTTTCGCATGTTGCATAAATAAGAAAGTGGGTGTGCTCACAAAAGGTGGCCTTGTGAAGACCGCGTCCATTAGGGTCAAATACCATAACCCTGTCCTGAGAAGTATCAGCAATGATTATGTTCCCAGATGCTGTGGCTGTAACGCCGATTGGGAAGGCCAACTTTGAGTTTTTGTAGGCATCGAATTCAAGTGACAACTTGGCACTGATTGTTCCTGAAATGAGAAAAACCAAGGGGGCATTAGTAGTAGTAGTATAATAGTAGTAGAAGTACATGAGCAAGTAGATGATTAGCTAATAGAAAAAAAAACTCCAATTTAAAAGAATCTGATAGTATCGTATACATGACATCCTGTATTATGATTGAATTTTCAATATACCTGCAGAACAAGGCAATAACAGGGAATAGAGCAATGTAGGAAAAGATGCTGCAGACACAGTAGAAAGAAGAATAAACAAACTTTTATTCTGGATAACAATGCAATGCTTACCTGAAAAACTAACAGGCTTTTTCTTGCAAGTTGAAAGTGGTGAAACCTTTGCACTCTGCCTTGTGGTTGAGTCAGAAGCAATGGCTGTCACAACGTACGTTGGCTTCAGGAGCTCTCTCCTGAAAGAAAAAAGGCCGGTACAATTTTCGGGTTTTCAAGGGATGGAAGGAGTGTTAGTACCACTCGCAGCATAGACAGCTCACGTCATGCGGGACATGATCGAGAGAATAAGAATGGGGTGGAGAACATTTGGCAAGCACTCTCAAATTATGACAGGTAGATTGCCACTATCCCTCAAGAGAAAGGTATATAACAGTTTTATCTTGCCGGTACTTAGCTACGGAGCAGAAACCTGGAGACTTACAAAGAGGGTTCAGCCCTCGCATACAACTACCTGAAGTTTGCCGGAACGAAATTCTCGCTACAAATCAGTGGAGAGGATTTTGAAAGCTCATGTCTTCGTTTAACACAATGTCAGTGAATACTGGCAGAAATCGAAGCCAAGACCAAGAAAGTACACGAGATGTTAATATATCCAAACCTTATTATAACAAAGTTGCATCTTACATGAAAATAGGTTTGCTATATCAAAAAATCCGTTATAAAGGTCTATTCCTAGCAATATATCTATTCCAACTTTTCTCCTTTTACTTCGTTATAACTGGCTTTTCATTATATCTGAGTCCTCGCGTTTCCTTGCACTAAACACAAGTTGTGATGTTCTCATTCAATCGTACCCGTGGTCACGAAGCTGACAAGTAGAAGGTGCCAGAAACTTGAACTCTCTGGTGCCAACTTGCAGCCCATCGTGCAGGAAGCGGGCAACGACGGCATTCAGGATCGCATCCAGTGACGAGTGCAGGTTGAGTGAGAAGGAGAGTTTGTCCAGGTTGTCGTCCCTGAACGACACTCGTATGGCGAATTCCGCGTTAAACTCACTCAGAATCCTGTTCTCAAAGTGAACCTGCAGCAAAATGCAATTTCAGTAAATAGTCTTACCACAGCACATGTAAAAAGATACCTACGCACAAACTGAAATGCACTCAAACCTTAATGTAACAGACATGAATATAACGAATTATTGGTTATAACACAGTAAACAAAAGATAGTCTTGCAATACAGTGTTAAGATGAACCTTTTTAAGAAATTTTCAGAAACAACAAACTTGTCTTCTTGTAAGATGCAACCTTGTTATGATGAGGTTTGAGTGTACATAATGGGTGCAACGTAAGCACATGTGAAATTGTTCAAAATATATTTTTTGAATTTCTTATCGCTTCCACAGGCAGTGTTAATGACAGCACAACTCCACCCAGGCCGCCTGCTGTAAGAGAAGGAGGAGGAATAAATAAGGAAGGACAGGCCGCCTGCTGTAGGAAAATTTGCTTTTACAAAGGACCTGCGAATGGCACAACAGCTTCTGCATACAAATAATGCTTAGTGTCCCTATAGAGAACAGTGGCACATTTCGAAACGGGAAGTCGGACTAATGCATTCGAGTTGAAACAGCAATTTTACTACATGCATTTCATACAAGGTGTGCCACCACAATCAGGCGCTGTGCTGGCATGATCGTGCATGGCAAGTACAAGCTGACCGACCGCGCTTGCGCATATACCCCAGGGGGCTATTGAAGAATGGTGACAGCCGAAGAGGTGGAAGTTCACCCCTCAGCTCCGCAGGTCACACACTTTCAAAGAATGAATTTGTCTTATGTTTTTTACCAACTGCTGCTTATTACAGCAGCAAGACAAAAAAGAAAATCCTCTTTTAAGCTTAGATTTATTCCGCCACGCACCAGCAGTAAACATGTGCCTGCAAAGCGTAAGAAAAGGCGGGCTCACAGCTCCGAAAGTGCATAGCCTTCCATCAACATGTGTTAAAATAGCATGCTGTAATACCATTCAAAGGCTTCCTACATGCAGCTGAGCTGTTTCATCCATCCATGTAAGTTGTCAAAACATACTGAGACTGCTTTACACCGAAGGAATCCATTTCTGAAGTTGGTTAATGAGCATTTCAAATTTTTACAAATCACATGCGTTCATGCACAATGTGTAGTGGCAGTGCTTGCAATGGACATCTTCGAAGGGGCTACCCACAAAGCACAATGACACTTACCTTACTAGTTAACAGCGTGCTCTAGCAGTGAAGCAGCATTCTATACCAATACGCCATAGGTAGCCAGAGCTCACGCCTTGCATGCCTTGCTTGCACTTTGTTAAAATCATGTACACTCAAAACTCAATATAACACAAACATAACAAAATATATGCTATAATGAAGTAAATGAAAAATAGCCTAGAAATAGATACAGTGTAAGATTAACCTTTTTTCAAATTTTCAGATATAACAAACTTATTTTCTTACAAGATGCAACTTTGTTATAATGAGGATTGAGTGTATTCAGAAAAAAATACCACATTTCGTCGCATAAAACCCGCACAAAATATACGGAAAAGTCAAAGCCAAAGTAACGTGGCGAGCTTGTTTCATGCTGCTACTTCATGGTAATGCAAGAAAATCTACGTCACTGTAATAAACTAAAGCTATTTTCCCTATATTAATTTTTTTTGTGTATGGTTGTCAGGGGTGTGCATAACAGGTAGGGACGTGTCATGTGTGAGAAAATACAGTACCACTACAGTCCCTACTTTTGATTTTAAAAACTCTCTTCGCATACCTGCGGAGGACGAAAAATGAGCCGGCCAGGCGTGACAAACACGCTCCGCACGAGGCACGTGCCACGGGCCAGCTGCGGCGGCTTCTCGTCCTTAAACAGGCTGCAGGCCACGTAGAAGGCGGGCCCAAACATCACGACGTTGCCCGCGTCAATGCTGGACACAATGTGGCTCAGCGCCCGCTCGACGACCAATGACTCCTTCGATCGTTTCTTGATGTCCCGCATAAGCTTCTCAAATGTGGTCCTCGACATAAGCGCCATCTGATCGAGAACGTCAAATGTGATGTGCAGGGCTGCCTTCAATGCATAGGCACAGGGAAACGGCAAAGTCCTCTCCATTTCCTCGCAGCGTGCCTGGGAAGTTTGCGCAGAGAATCGCGTTGCGTACACAGCCTCCCCTGAACAGGCACGCCAAGAGTGACAGGTCTATGACAGCACATTGCAATGTCATCAGATGCTACCGGCATTTACCATATCTCTCAAACAAATATCAGAAACAGGGTATTGATTACGGCAACAACGATAAAAAAATGTTTCACGATTTTTCTTACATTTTAACTTCTCTGAACATAACTATCAGTTCCTTCTACAACGCATTCATTTCGCTACATAATGTAATTAGTTCTTTTAAACACTGGTACAATAAATTTTTGTAGTAATTAAAAATGTTAAAAGCCAGCAGGCTTAAACATGCTCAAACCTCGATATAATGAATTCGAATAGAACGAATTATTGATTATAACAAAATGACTAACAGCTTTGCCATAGATAGTGCTACAAATATTCATTTATAATGAACTTTTAAATGTAACAATGTTTTTGTGTCAGATGAGTGTATATGATTCAACAAAATTTTTTCAGCACAGTTAATTATCTCTTTTTGCATCTTTAAAGTATGTTTACCAGTACTTCTGACATTTGTTTGGTATGCTAGTCAAAATATCTCTTGATTACTATGAAAGTATGTAGACAAGAATATTATGTCAACACTGCCTTGTGTACGGGTGCTCAAGCTGCATTTTCCCCACTTTTCGACAGGGGTGACCTCTAATAGCTACCGCACCTGGCCCCAGCAGATGCAACTTTCATACTGTATTTACTCACATAGAACCCACCCCCCACCTTGGTCCTTGAAAAAAAGAAAAAAAAAACTTCTTCGATCTATATGATCATTTTATTTTGGTATGACAGCCAGTGCCGTTAATTATTGAAACAATGTTAAATCAAACCATTATATGACAAAATAACTGCACAATAGAAGTCAAAACAGATTTGCAACCACGCCAAACAGTTGCGAGCGTTGACAATGCAAGTCAAAATTTGAAAATCGTGCCTTTTACAGCAAAGCGCCATCTGTCGAATGCTGGAGAAACCTCTTTGCTGAAAGCACCACGAAAGCACAGTGGCACAAAAACAAAGAGCGTGGCCTCCAAAATAGCCCACACACGGTGTAGAAACGCGCCGCGCACTTGATATTGGCCGCGAGATCGAGCAGAGTCACCGCCTGGTGGCAACTGGGCGAAATGGTGAAGTGTGGATTGCTCCTTGCATCGTCTGCTAGCCACGTCGTATTTCTGTGTGTGCGTACGTCATGCAAGTTCTCAAAGTGTGGTTTGTTCGGTCATGTCAGCGTGAGTGTAACTGTTTGTACGTATGCCCGAAAGGACGTAGGAAAGCATTTGATCTTGCTCAGCTGCTGATGCATTGTAACAAGATCGACAAGTGCAACTTTCTAAAGTGTTGTTTATTGTCGTCGGTACTCTCCATTCACCAGAAAAACTTCAGAGTGAATGCCGCTTTCTGTTACAAGCACATCGCAAAATGCTCTTTAAATCCTCCCACACATGATTATTAAATGCTTTGTGAATGCAGCGTTTTATGGTGACTCGGTTGTAAAAAAAAAAAGCTCTAGGTCATGCACTTGAGCGCCATTTGTTGGTAGGTGTACAACTATGGCATGGCACTGTAGTTTATGAATCATGCGAGGAGCCTTAGTTGTGTTTATCTGGCCGTGGTATCATTACATAGAAATATTACTATAATTCTATGTAGATATTACTCTCACATAATCTGTGAGACTTCGTTACTCACACTCTAATTAAGACAGAGTTACCGTGCGCAACTGTGTGCATAGATTTAAAAATGCTTTGAAAAGCCCAGACGTTAAAAATTAATTCAGACGGCATGCTTTATATATAATGTGTCATTTCACTGATATTTCATCTTTTGTACATTATTGACAGCATTTGTGTAGCATTGTTTGTGACCGACGAAAGGCAGCCGTAACTTTTTGTCAGAATAAAAACATGCTTGCCCATTATCCAGGCCTTTGTTGTAGCACCGTCATGCACGTAATCCGTCGATGAAACCTTTCTGCTGAGCTCTTATATAAGATTTTTACTAGTGCAACAACATGTGCGTACACGTTGTAAACGCAGTGTAGCGTGAAGCACCGTCAGCCACTAAGCTTTCCTTACTAGACTTATCGACTGTCACACAATTCATTGTGAACAGAATGAGAGAAAAAAAATATACGCGTATAAGGTGCAAACAGTGGTACTGAATGAATCGCAGTTTCAGTCACGCTATAGCAGTGCATAGCAGGCAGAACGCAAGCTAAACACGTACAAACAACACAGCAAAGGCATGATTTAGTGAGAAAGCGGGAAGAGTCACCCAGGGCGAGCATCCCTATGAACGACAGAATACGATTTACTTGCGAGTAATGTTAAAGTTGCTTATGCATCACACACCAATTCTATAGAGAAGAGCGTAGATATTAACAGTAAACTGCAGTCAACACATTTTATCTGCCGAGAATCTTCTCAGACCGCACGCAACAAAGCGCTGATGCGTGTATTTGTATACGCGCCGCCGACCGCCTATCCACACTTGGGACGGTGCTGCCATTTATAGCCAGAATCTCGCAGCGAATCTCGCACCTATGCAAAGCACAACCACACCCACCACATCGACCGCTTATTGTGCAGCCGCAATGGCTACCTCAATGTTTGTGCACCGCCGTCCGACACTGTGTTTTTGTTGTTTGTCATTGTGAACTTATTTGGGACACCTTCCACTTGGGGTGCAATCGGCAGGTACGCTAGCTACACACGGCTGATTACTAAAAGCATGCGCTGGAGTGATGGACCAAGCGGCTGAATGACACTTCGGCATCGACCCATGCGTTTTCATTACGAGAGAAAACAAAAAGAGCTTTGGGCTACAAAAAAAATTCGTCACACATTTCACGGGCCAAAACAAGCAAAGCCGTCATGCGAAACTTTCGCTGTTGTAATTTTCGTGACTTTTTCTCCAGCGTAATGAACCCTCCCCTCTAATTGGCGTGAACTTGTCTTAAAGAAAGAATGTGGGTTCATTACGCGAGTAAATACTGTATATTGCTCGACCTCTAATAAACGAGTGCCAACACTTGTACTGGCAGTAACTTAAAAGCAAACTGAGCAGTGAGAATGCACCACACAGAAAGTCATCAGCCTTCATTGAGAGTTCATATTGATGAGCAGCATGAATGTGCTCGTGGCCAAAATATCTAAGGTGTCTCGCCGCGGAGCGAAGGATCGGTGGTTTAATTTTATAGTCACGTGTTTCAGGAGTCTTTTCTGAAGAACCATTTTTCTCAATATAAGATTGTTAGGGTTTCAAGCACCAAAACCACGGTATGGTTACAAGGAAGGCCATAGTGGAAGGCTCCATAAATTTTGACCACCTGGTGTTCAACTTCTTAACCACTTTGGATGAATGTCACTCGTCCCCCCCCCCCCCCCTCCCCACAGAGAGTTTTCAAAGAGACTTGTTTCCAAGCTACTTCGCCAGTCCCTTCACAGATGACAGCGCTAGCTTGGCAAGTTTTTATCTTGACCACCATTTCCCATTTTATAGTGACCTGCATTTAGAAAATGTCCGACGAGCTGCCAAAAAAAAGGAGGGGGGGGGGGGGGGCCTTTTGTCATCATTAGAGACAGGATTACAGGCAAATGCCTACTGTGTTCCTTGGATTTCTATCGTGCCATCTTGATATATGAGCATGAATTAGAGGTTAAGAAGGGCTTTTATGATATTTTTATAGTGCCTATAAATGCCTAATTTGAGTGTTCATGCCTAAACGCCTATAAATGCCTATTTTCCAAATTAGCACCTATATGAGCGCTATTCAAGCTCAAATTTTGTTTTCCAGCGTGATGTGAAGCCGTTATTCATGTAAAAAAGGCAACATTGATATTTCCAAACACAATAAGGTTCAACAAAGAAAAAGCTGACATGCTGTGAGTGATTAGAAGAGGAGCATGAGGAGTGCGAAAGACGCTATTTCTGCAGCCCTAAGTGCAAGCATGTCTCGGCGTCTGCTGGAAAAGGAGGAGGGAGAATTAAAGATATGGTAAGAAAATAAAAGTAACATCTATGGCTGTGGGTGCGGCAACCGCATTCTACAGACAGCTGTCCAGTGCCCTGAAGGAACTGAAGAACCACCCCGAAAACCTGGTATTGCGGTGGGAAAGGAAGAGCAGATTTTTCTGGGCAGCCGCGGGTAGCTGGAGAACGAATAAAAAACCATGAAGGACCGGCCACTCGTGGAATGCTCTTGTTAATTCAGTGGTGGCGAAGGTCGCCAAATCATTATACATTATACAGAGAAGCCCGAGACAGGTGCGGGGATGTTTACTCAATGGTGTATTTAGCATACATTCACCGGATGCTTTAATACGGTTGTTCCGTATGAGTTCCTTTGTCATATGATTTTAAGTGACAAACATGACAAAATACAGAACACAGCTTCTAGGTTTGTCCTAAGCCATTACTCAAAATGATAGCTGTAACAATAAGAAAAATGAACAAGGTTGAGAATTATCATTATCGCGTCAAATTAAACTGTGGTTAAAGCTCCCATGTCAAGCATTCCATGGTAAAACTCGCATTCGATAATGAATGTACCTAAACAGTCCTCTTCGCGCAATGGTAATGAAGACTGTAGAATGTGGTATCAGATATAATATTTGTATTAATTCGTTTTTTGTTTGTTCCATGACAGAACCAAATGGCTTATAAAGAGAGCAAAGTGTGTTGTGCCAATGAAGGAGTGTTTTCTTTAGCAATGTAACCCATCTGCTGCAGTGCCTTCAGGAAAAAAATGTGATGTGCACGTCTTTTTATTCTTTGTAATTTATTTTTTAAGCACCCCTCTCTAGGTGACATAATAAGTTCTAGTTAGAAACACATTCTATTATGGTGATTTTTCGAATTGGTTCGCTACGAGCCACCAAAGCACGATGCGAAGAAGAGAGCTTGAATCCCTAGCCTCTCGTCCCATGTAGTCATCGTGAGCCTTATTCCTT